TTCATCTGTTGCTTTTGTGCTTGACTTGTCCTTATTTAATCAACATTGAAGTACATCAATAAATGCTTTATTTGAGATTTCTCTGAGCCTTTAATATGAGTACTAGTAAGGTGTGATTTAATTTTCATTTGATTCTGGGAACTTTTTGGCCTTCTTGATTTCTTCAGTTACCCACTATCCATTCCAAACTGTAGTGTACATTTTCAGTATATTTGTATAGTTTCTCACACTATCAATTTCTTATTTTATTCTAAAATGATGTGACAAACTACAAGAAGTTATTTTGACTTTTTAGTATTTTAAGACTTACTTGATAGCTTAAAATGTGACTTATTTTAAAGAAAGGTCCATGAGATGTTGAAAAGAATGAGTATTCTGTTCAATGGAATGTTCTGTAGATGTCGGTTATGTTCACTTGACCTATGGTGCAAGAGTAGACTCTGAAGTTTCTTTTTAGTTTCTACTCAGGATGATTTTTCCTCTACTGCTGGGAGGGAACCTTAACTGAGAAAATGCTGTCATAAGATCCGGCTATAGAGCATTTTCTTAATTAGTGACTGATGGAGGAGGGTCCAGCCCATTGTAGGTGGTTCTATCCCTGGGCAGATGGTCCTAGGTTCTGTAAGAAAGTAGGCCGAACAAACCATGGAGCAAGCAATAAGTAGCACCCATCCATGGCTTTTGTGTCAGCTCCTGCCTCCAGGTGCCTGCCCTGTTTGAGTTCCTGCCTTGACTCCCTTCTATAATAAGCAACTATATGAAAGTATAAGCCAAATAAAACCTTCCGTCTTCAACTTGCTTTTTGGTCATTGTCTTTTCAATATAGCAATAGAAATCCTAAGACACTTGCCCTGTGATCTGTTGTGTTTTTCCATTTTTTTTTCTTTTAATCTGTCAAGTTTAGAGTGTATCCTCATTTCCCTCACTTTTCTAAATATTGACACAGCGGTTGTTTCTAATTAGCCATCTTGGCACACCTCTGAAACTTTGTTCTTAAAACAAACTTTTTTGTTTGTTTGCATGCTGATATTATAGGTGTATGCCACCTTCCCTGGTTTAAAGCAATTTCTCTCTCTCTCTCTCTCTCTCTCTCTCTCTCTCTCTCTCTCTCTCTCTCTCTCTCTCTCTCTCTCTCTCTCTCTCTCTCTCTCTCTCTCTCTCTCTCTCTCTCTCTCTCTCTCTCTCTCTCTCTCTCTCTCTCTCTCTCTCTCTCTCTCTCTCTCTCTCTCTCTCCCCCCCCCCCCCCTGTCCTGTAACTTGCTCATAGGCCAGCTGTCCTCAAACTCAGAGATCCACATCTGCTTTCTGAGTGTTGGGCTTAAAGGTGTGCACTGCCACCGCCTGGCAAGAGGAATACACTTTTAAAGAGTAATGAGACTGCAGTGTGCTAAGTGGCAGAGTATAACTAGATGCTCAAAGCTGACGAGTAATTTCATCCAAGAGATATGGATTGGAGTAAATAAGTAGATTCAAACTGTTGTGGGAAAGCAGTGACTGAAGTGCTGGTTTGGATTTCCTGTGCCATCCAGATTTTGACTTTGTGACAGGGAAAGTTGTATTCACTCATCTTAGCTCAGGCTAGCACTCAGATCAAAGGACAGTGGGAACCTGTATTTACTGACTGCTCACATTTCGCTCTTGAGGCTCAGTGAAAGACTGTAGGAAAATAAGGATCTCCCTTAGAGGATGTTCCTCCAGGGTCTTTTTTTTCTTTTGGATTTTTTTCAAGGCAGGGTTTCTCTGTGTAACTTTGTAGTCTGTCATGGAACTTGCTCTGTAGATCAGACTGTCCTCAAATTCACAGAGACCCACCTGCCTCTGCCTCCTAAGTGCTGGGATTAAAGGCGTGGGCTACTACCAGCCAGCTCCTCCAGGGTCTTGATCAAAAGAGATTACAGGACAAGTGTCTTAGTTTGCATTTCTATTACTATGACTACCTTCCTTCATACCCTGTTTTTCATTTCAGTCCTGTATAGGCAGTGCAGAACTGAGGGGAGGATTCATGTTAGACATCATGCCTACCTTACCTAACTGTACTTTGGTTTCCAGGTCTGTAAAGGAAGTAATATATTGTATTTTCACTACTAGGACCTTATGTGAAAATAGCCTAATATTAGTGTCTGATGAGGATGCTCCAAATTTCACCAAGAATTGGGGTAGCAGGTATTCCTGGGAACTGAGTCCTGTCTTGTCAAGGAGTCTCCATCTTAGGTCTTATCCCTATGAAAGAGAGATTAAAGTTCTAGGAGTGTGTCACCTGAGACAGTCACTTCCAATGTGTTTGCTCTACTTATACGTTAACCTGGTTGGAAAGTGTGGTGGTTTGAAAGAAAATGGTCTCCAGAGAGAGTGGCACCATTAGGAGGTGTGACTTTTGGTATGGTATGTTTGTAAGTATGTTCTTATTGGAGGAAGCATGCCACTGTAGAGGCACCCTTTGAGGGTTCGTATATGCTCAAGTCAGGCCCAGTGACACACTTCACTATTGCCTTCTGATCAAGATGTAGCCAACACCATGCTCCCTGTCATGATGATAGTGGACTGAACCTCTGAACTGTAAGTAAGCCACTCTGATGAAAAATGTTTTCCTTTATAAGAGTTACCATGGTCTTGGTGTCTCTTCACCAAGGTCCTAGGGACTGGGGTATTTCTGTGATAGGCTGGATCACGTTTTTGTTTGGAGAAATATGGACTTTGGGAGTTTGGGTTAGAAAAGCACTGCTTAATTGGCCATACTAGTAGGAACATGAAAGACAGTGGTAATAAGAGTTATTTGAACTGTGGGGTGGGGAGCTGAACTGACACAAGAGGTTTCAGAGGAGAAGGATTTTAGTATGTTGCCTAGAAATCCTTCTTGTGGTATTTTGGTCTTGTGGTATTTTGGTGAAGGAACTAGCTGCCTTTTACCCTTGTTCAAAGTCTGCCTGAGGCTAAAGTAAAGAGTTTTTTGGGTTTTTGTTTGGTTGGTTTTTGGTTTTTCAAGACAGGGTTTCTCTGTATTGTTTTGGAGGCTGTCCTGGAACTACCTCTTGTAGACTATGCTGGCCTCGAACTCATAGAGATCCACCTGCCTCTGCCTCCAAAATGCTGGGATTAAAGGTGTGCACCACCAATGCCCATAGAGGCTTTTTTTAAATTCCATTGACAGACTCAAAATAGCCTAGTATAGACTCTGTCATATTGTTATTAGTGGTAACTCTAATGAAGATTTATAGTGAAAAGGAGCAAGCTGAGCAGGGTAAATTATCAAACATAAATTTTGAGGAGAAAAAGAGCCCCAGGAAATGAAATGGAACTAAGTTTTGAGTTCAAGGAGATAAATGGATTTTTAAAAAATGAGTAAATGTAGTGGTGACCTCAGAGCAAGATCCCACCAAGCTAAGTTTCCGATTTGTGAAAAGGAACTAAAGAAAAGCTTAGAGCCAAGTGTGGTGGTACATGCCTTTAATCTCAGCACTCAGAAGACAGAGGCTGGTAGATCCCTGAGTTTGAGGCTAGCCTATTCCATGGAGTGAGTTCAAGGACAGTCAAGCTTAGGCAGTGAAGAAAATTTCTGTTTTCCATAAACAGAAATCTGGTGAAGATGTAATTGAAGATCTCTGGGTTTGAGGTCAGCCTGGTCTACAGAGTAAGTATTAGGGTAGCCAAGCTTAGGCAGTAAAGGTAACAACAGTCAGATACATAAAGGTAAAGATGCAGTTGAGGGAGCTATGTTATAGCTACAGCAAGAAGCAGAACTTGGCAGCTTCAGCCACATGGTTCTGGCTTCAGAGTTAAGAATAGAAGAACAAGCTTATGGATTTTGCCTCCACACCTAAGGAAAGAAGCTGAGGCCAGGCATTGTCAGGGTTGTCCCTGAATGGAGTCCTAGAGAGGCTGTTTCGTGAAGCTGTGAAATTCCTAGATTGCCTTGGAAACCCCAAGATGTTAAAGATGCCAGAGTAGTGGGATACTTGCTGAGGAAAGCTAACAGGGAGTGGAACCAGCCCAAGAGAAAGAAGTGTATTGCAGTCAACAAAGCTGAAAGGAGGTGGACACCTGAAGAATGCTGTGATATCAGACATGGAAATACAAAACTTGGAGTTTACCCAGCTGGTTTTTGGTCTTGCTTTGGTCCAGTATTTCCTCACTATGCTCCCTCCCTACATTTTGGGATGGTAATATATATCCTGTGCCATTATATATTGAAACTATGTGGTCTGCTTTTTTATCATTTTAAAGGTGATTACAGTTAAAGATTGTGAGAATCTCACAATAAGTTTGAGACTGTTACAAACTGTGGCGACTTTTGAAGTTGAACTGAATACATTTTTGCATTATGATATGACTATAAGCATTTGGAATCCATGGAGTGGAATATGGTGGTTTGAAAGAAAATGGCCCCCAAAGGGAGTGACACTGTTAGGAGGTGTGGCTTTGTTGGTATGGTATGTTCTACCTACTAAGACAGAAAGCTTATAACAATACCATGTACCTGCTATTGTGGCAAGAAATAAATAGCTCAATATCTTAGTAGGTCCTGCTCCTTTTTAGACCCTGAGCCCTATCTACCACTATAGACTATTTTTTCCTCTTTTTGAACTTCATGCTAACAGATTAGGATCAGTACTGTGTGTTCAATACTGTAGCTTTAAGATTTAAAGTTGTACCAAATCCCTGAAGTTTCACCCAGATTTCTGACTCAAATGTTGGGAGCTGCTGTAGCATGAATTTTATGTTTAGAGACACCTGACTTACTCCTTTATGTGGGATTTAGATTTTGCTAATTTAAGGTCAGAAGAAGACTCTTAGTTCTCAGCTCATGTGGAATAATTTAGCTTTGGGTAGATATCAGAATGACATTATAAAGGGCTGGGATTGAGTGGAGTTTGCTATGCGTTTTTATTTTGGGAAATATGTTAGATTACATCATTTATTACTAGGACACTCTCCAGTTGAAAGTAACATTTGAATTGTTAAAATGAAGAAATTATATTGGTAATACATATTTTCATTTTTAGTTAAATTCTCTACAAGACCTTCACCCATTACCCAAGATAATTTTGGAATATAGGCAGGTAAGTCGACTCTCTCTCTCTCTCTCTCTCTCTCTCTCTCTCTCTCTCTCTCTCTCTCTCTTCTGTGTGTGTGTGTGTGTGTAAATCATTTGTGATGAAGGGAAACTACTTAACCTTTTCTCTATTCACAACCCCATATTTGCTGATGCATGATTACAGTGTTATAAAGAGATAAAATTTCCTCAGCCAACTTCATGTCAGCCCTGCTTCTTCATATCCTGATGTAACTCACTCAAGACTGAGTCTACTTTGCCCAACATTGGTAGCTTAAGGAGTCATATATAAAAGCAGACTGATGGCCTGTCCCCCTGTATCTTCAAGTGAAAACAAGGCTTCTACCAATTCTCACAAAAGTCCTGTCATTTTCCTGGTTTCCGGGCTCCAAGACAGTGATGTTTCCTGAAGGTTTTTGAGTATGCCCCCTTTCATTTTTTAGCTACTCATGTTTTCTCTGTTCACATACCTGCCCTTTATTTCATGATTTCTGTTATCCATTAACCACATTTACAAACCAAACATCAGTGCTATTATTTACTGAGCCCCTGTCCTGCAAAAATACACTGGTACCACAACAACCATCCTCCTGGTAAAGGGTTGGGAAGGAACTAGAAAGGGCCCGCTGCTGGGAACACTTATATGAGTATTTGAGCATCTGTACAACTTTGCAACTTCTCTGTAGCCTAGAAATATTGCAGAATGACAGACTGACATCTTTCTTTGTGGACCTGTGTTATTCAGTCCTGGCAGTACTTAAGGTTGTCCAAGGTGAATTTTCACCACATGCCCTATGTAAACTGTTGCTCTGAAGTTGGTGTCTTTGAGTATTTAAACAAGTTTAACAAAAACTATTCTTGTCTTTATGATGTAGGTTCACAAGATCAAGTCAACTTTTGTAGATGGATTACTAGCTTATATGAAAAAGGTAACAAAGTTTAACAAAAGTAAATTGGGATTAGAAATAAGGTTTATTTTGAATTCAGATACGCATGCCACTTTTACATTCCCAATAAAGGAGGAAAAGTTTTTCATTTTAGAACTACAGACTGTGGTCATATTATTCAATCTCTGTACAATGGAGGTTAGTTTTATGCTTTCAGATCCTCCAGATATTATTAGACAGTTTAACAGCTAGCCTGCTTTCCCGTCTACTGTCATTTTTTTTCTGGAGCCATTTGAGGCACTCAGAATTCTGTAGAGGAACATACATATGAACACACATGCGTGCACACACACACACACTCACTCACTCACTCACTCTCAAAGGGGATGTACTAGAATAGATTACAGGCTGTGGTCAAGCTAGTCCAAAAATGGTTATCTATCAACAGAAAGTCCAAGAATCTAATAGTTGTTCAGTCCACAAGGCTGGTGTCTCAGTTGGTCTTCAGCATATGCTGGAATCCCAAAGAAGTAGGATCTAAATGTCAGTAAAGAAATGGATTTGCAGTGAGAGCAAACAGGCAAAGAGAGAGCAAGCTTTCTTCTTCTATGTTATTTATACAGGCTGCCAGCAGAAGGTGTGATCCAGATTAAAGGTGGATCTTCCATCCACAAAAAGATCTAGATTAAAAGGAGGTCTTCCCACTTCAAATTATTTTTTTAAAAATCCTCCGCTGGTATACCCAGCCACTTATGCTTTAGTTAAGTGAAGATATATAGTCAAGTTGACAACCAATAACATCCATCACAGGTAGACATTACTTTTAATTTGCATATGAGAAAAGTACAATCAGTGGTGTCTGTGAGCTACAAGGTTGCATAACAAGCAACAGAATTGTGGCATAGTTCCACTTTGAGTTTATGCTGTCCCTATAGTCCCCTTAACCCACATGTAGCTTTAATAACTGACATGGATCTACTTGTCCTATTGCTGCTTCTATGTGGGTTAGAGAGGAACATTTGTCTCTGATCCAAGACAGTTTTGTAATATTCAGGAGGAGCAAGGAGGGCTATAGGTGAAAGTTCTGTGTGTTCTTCCTCACAACATATTACTTGAATTTGAACCCATTCTTCTTAAATGATCAAGGGCTCCGTCTCTTCTACATGGAATCAGACTGGAACTGTGTCGGGGAGACTTTCATCCAAGCATCCTGTAAGTTACTTGTCCATTTCTGTGCCTAAATGTATGTTTAGTTCTGCATTGTTCCCAGAAGAGAACTTCATGCTGCTAATTGTGTTTTACTCTATGTGCTTCTACCCAGAAACTCATGCACTTTGGTGATGTGCCTCTCTCCATCGCCCTTTTCAGCTTTTTCCTGGGAAGGTAGCTTCCAAATGTGTTATCTGATGAAAACTGTCTCCATTTTGTAATTTCTAAAGACTATTTTTCTTTTTATTTAAATTAGAAACAATCTTATTTTACATATCAATCTCATTCCCTCTTCTTCCCATCCTCCTGTGCCCCCCACCGATCCCCATCCCATCCCTCTTCTGCTCCCCAAGGAGGGTAAGGCCTTCCATGGGGAATCATCAAAGTCTGTCACATTATTTGGGACAGGGCCTAGGCCCTCCTCGGTGTGTCTAGGCTGAGAGAGTATCCCTCTATTGGGGAATGGGCTCCCAAAGTCCATTCGTTCACTAGAGATAAATACTGTTTCACTATCAGAGGCCTCTTAACTTACACCCATGTTCAGGGGGCCTGGTTCTGTCCTGTGCTGGTTTCCAAGCTGTCAGTCTGGTGTCTACGAGCTCCCCCTTGTTCAGGTCATCTGTTTCTGTGGGGTTCCCCAGCCTGGTCTTGACCCCTTTGTTCATCACTCCTCCCTCTCTACAACTGGATTCCAGGAGTTCAGCTCAGTGCTTAGCTGTGGGTCTCTGCTTCTGCTTCTATCAGCTACTGGATGTAGACTCTAGGATGGCATATAAGGTAGTCATCAATCTCATTATAGGGAAAGTGCATTAAAGGTAGCCTCTCCACTATTGCTTAGATTCTTAGTTGGGTGTCAACCTTGTAGATCTCCGGACATTTCCCTAGGGCCAGATTTCTCTTTAAACCTATAATGGCTCCTTCTATTAAGGTAGCTCTTTTCTTGCTCTCTTCTATTCTTCCCCCAACTCAAACTTCCTGGTCCCTCATGTTCTCCTCCCCCTTTCTCTTCTCCCCTTCTCTTTCTCTTAACTCTCTCTCCCTTCCCCCCATGCTCCCAATTTACTCAGGAGATATTGTCCCTCTCCCTTTCTCCAGGGGACCATGTTTGTCTCTCTTAGGATCCTCCTTGCTTCTTAGCTTCTCTGGAGGTGTGGATTATAGGCTGGTAATCCTTTGCTAATATGGATATGCCTAATATCCATATATGTCTGATATCCATATGTGAGTGAGTACATACCATGTTTGTCTTTTGTGACTGGGTTACCTTGATCAGGATGGTTTCTTCTAGTTCCATCCATTTGCCTGTGAATTTCAAGATTCCATTGTTTTTTCTGCTTAGTAGTACTCCATTGTATAAATGTACCACATTTTCTTTATTCTTCAGTTGAGGGGCATCTAGGTTGCTTCCAGGTTCTGTCTATTACAAATAATGCTGTTATTAACATAGTTGAACAGATGTCCTTCTTGTATTAATGTGCAGCCTTTGGATATGTGGCCAAGAGTGGAATTGCTGGATCTTGAGGTAGACTGATTCCCCTTTTCCAGAGGAACCGCCATACTTATTTCCAAAGTGGCTGTACAAGTTTGCACTCCCACCAGCAGTGGAGGAATGTTCCCCTTTCTCCACATCCTCTCCAACATAAATTGTCATTGTTGTTTTTTATTTTAGCCATTTTGACAGGTGCAAATGGTATCCTGTACCAATTTGTTCAAGGGTACTTCCTACTTTCTCTTCTAAGAGGTTCAGTGTGGCTGGATTGATGTTGAGATTTTTGATCCATTTGGACTTAAGTTTTATGCATGGTCTGAAGACTATTTATATTGGAAAGTTATAAATGCTCCTGCATTTATGATGCAGTTATAGTAACACTTTCTTGGTCCTTTTAAAAGGTAAGGTCTTTACTATAATAGAGCCTGAAGTCAGGGATAGTGATGCCTCTGGTAGTTCCTTTATTGTACAGGATTGCTTTTTTTTTTTTTTTTTTTTGCTATCCTGGGTTTTTTGCTTTTCCATATAAAGTTAAGTATTATTCTTTTCAAAGTCTGTTAATAATTGTTCTGGGATTTTGATGCAGATTGCATTGAATCTGTAGATTGCTTTTGGTAAGACTGACATTTTTACTGTGTTAATCCTACCTATCCAAGAGCATGGGAGATATTCCATTTTTTGATATCTTCTTCAGTTTATTTCTTCAAAGACTTAAAGTTCTTGTCATACAGAACTTGTTTGGTTAGACTTATCACAAGATAATTTATGTTGTATGTGACTATTGTAAAGGGTTATGTTTCTCTGATTTCTTTCTCAGCCATTTATCATCTGTATATAGGAGGGCTACTGATTTTTAAAAGTTATTCTTGTATCTCAGTGTTGGAGAGGTGGGAACAGAAAGGTCCCTGGTCCCTATCCACTGTATCAAGACTGAGCAAGGTATTCCTCTGTAGGGAATGGGCTCCAAAAAGACAGTTCATGCACTAGGGATAAATCCTGGTCCCACTACCAATGGCTGCCCAGACTGCCCAAGCCACAGAAGTGTCTCCCACATTCAGAGGGCCTAGTTTGGTCCTATCCTATGCAGGTTCCCCAGCTATCAGTTCAGCAAGTGTTCTTTTTTAAAAACAATGATTTTATTTGTTAATTTATAGACAGGCTCTCACTATGTAGCCATGGCTGTCCTGGAATTCATCATGTAGACTGGGCTGGCCTCGAACTCACAGAGATCCATCTTCTCTATGCATGACTTTATGATTTTTTTATTTTTGAAATTATAATATTATTATATCATTTACCCTGCTTCTTTTTCCTCCTTCTCACATGTCCCTCCATTTAACTGCTTTTGCCCCCTCAAATTCATGGCCTTTTTTTCTTTGCTACATATTTTTCTAAATATATAAATATAACCTGCTCATTCTGTATAATGTTACTTTGTATTGAATAACCATTTGGAGAGCTCCTCCCTGGGGAAGACTATTTCTCCTGATCTCAGCATTCTTTAGTTGCCTGTAATTCTTTGTCTGGTACAGACAGGGTCGCATATGACTTCCTCCTTCCATGTTAGCATGTCTATTAGTGTTTGTCATTGTTTAGGTTCTGTTTAGGCAGCCATGTTGATAGGACTTCATGGGTGGAGTTTCTCTGACTTTCCTAGGAGACACAATCTCGCAACAAACTTCCTGTTCCTCTAACTCTTCTGCCCCCTCTTCTGAAATGATCTCTGAGTCTTAGGTGCAGGAATTGTGTTGTAGATGTATTCTTTGGAAGTGGGCACCACATGATGTCTTAGTCTCTGTGTTTTGACCAGTTAATGGTTTTCTGTAATAGTCTCTGTGGCTAAAAGAAGTTTCTTTGATAGGTGTGAGAACTACACTTATCTATGGGTATAAGGATAAATATATAGAATGTAGTTAGGAATTATGCTAGTGTAGTAAAGCGGCAGTAATAGGTTCTCCTCCAGGATCCAGCTCAGGTCCCCTGAATTATATGTTTAGAGTACATGGTGTCCTCAGCAATAGTAACTTAAATTCTGCATCAACTAAGGGCAAGAGCATTAGCATGTGGCTTCTCGTAGTTGATGCTAGAGTTTTGTTAAGACAGTATACAGCTCCTAGGAAAAGCATTATCAGTCCAAATGGGAAATTTTATTCTCTCTGTATGTATGTATTTATGTTCAGAATTAAAATATTATTTGTAATTTTAGGTACATAGATAATAGATAACTTTTTTCAAACATCCTTTCTGTTACTCTCCTTCCTTTTGTATTTATCTCTTTCCTTAATCATAACCCCCCATTCTTCATATTTCCCTCTTCAGATCACTTGTACTCTGTTATTTCCCCATTCTGCTGTTTCCCCTACCTTGGCCCCCTTTTACTTTCCTGGTTTCTGCAATTACTCCAGTTAATACACTCATATCTAAAGACTGGGAGTTAAAAAATCACAGATGAGGGAGAACATGTGACATTTGTCGTTTTGAGTCTCAGTTACCTCACTCAATATGATCTTTTCTAGTTCCATCCTTTTATTTGCAAAGTTCATTATTTCAGTTTTCTTTACAGTGGAATAATATTTCCTGGTGAAATGTTTCTATTATCTATTCATCAGTTGAAGGTCATTTAGGCTGTACCTATTTCTTAGCTGTTGTGAATAGAGCAGCAACAAGCATGGCTGAGCAAGTGTCTGTGGAGTAGGGTGCTGAGTCCTTTGGGCATGTGCCAAGAATTAGTATAGCTGAGTTATATGGTAGATTAATTTTAGCTTTTTGATGGTTCTCCACATCGATTTCCAGAAGTTTGACCAGTTTTCAATCCCACCAACTGTGAATGAAGGTTCCCTCCCCCTCTAGGTCATCTCCAGAATTTGTTGTCAGTTGTTTTGTTGATCTTTGCAATTCTGACTTTGAGAAAGTCAACAACTGCTCTTACCTACTGAGCTAATTCTCCAGTCACTGATTAATATTCATAAAAATCAGATATAACTGCAATGTTTGCAGAAAACTGTTTTTTCACATATGTCCCTCCCAGGATAAAGTCTCTGCCACCAGCTAAAGTCACTTCCACCTATTTCAGTGTTACTCTGCTTCTAGAGACAGAAAGTGTAAAGTATTTTGTCTCTTTGTTCCCCTGCACCTTTTTCCATATTTTGACATTTCAATGAAACAATAATAATCTATGACTTATTCAGAATTATGAAAACACTTATTTAATTGTCTATGCTAAAGTTTCATCAATGAATGTAATCACATCGGCACATTTTTTTTTACAATAGCTGCTTAAGTCTTTGATAGAAAATACTGCCAGGCCAGAAGTTAGTGGTGCATACCTTTAATCCCAGCACTCCAGAGGCAGAAGCAGGCAGAGCTCCATGAGTTTGAGGCCAGCCTGGTCTACAAAGAGAGTTCCAGTGAGGCTCCAAACGACGCTGTAACGATAAGCGACACACTTACTGAAAGTAAAACTAAGTATTTATTGTAGAAATTACTCACAAGATACCAAACAAGTAACCCAGAT